TTTCCTCATCTTTTGATCCATCGGTAGGTTTAAGGACAAATTTCCAGGATCTGTTGAATCTCTTTGCTGGCTATCATCATTCATCTCTTTACCTTTTTAAATTTTTCACAGTTAACAACACAGCCTTTACAGATGATATATGCTCCCTGCCAATATTGATGAGGTAATGATATAAAGGTATGTACATTATGCTGGGTATGTACTGTTACTGTCACACCTATACGAAAAATTCCGCCCTGACTTTAACCAGATTCCAGGTGGAATTTTAAAGCGGATTTCACCTAAAGCCATATATTCCACTTATTATACATATTAGGTGGATTTAGGGCGGATTCAGGGCGTAATATAGCCCGAAATATGCAAATTACTCAGTCTATTATTAGGAGGAATCTGTGTAGTTCGCCTACTAAGCGAAATTTGTTTATTCCTCTTATTTAGCCTAGATTTCCCTTATTATCAATTTTAGGCGGATTCAAGGCTGAATAGGGCCCAAAGTATATAAATTACTCCGTCTATTATTAGGAGGAATTTGTTTAGTCCGCCTCTTAAGCGGAATTTATTTTAGGTGTAATATGCAAATTAGTTGTCCTAAGATTCCGCTTAAACAAAAAAAAAAAAAAAAAAACATCAAAGATTTCCACCTGAAATAAAATTCTTCCTGAAAAACATACTCACCTGAAATAAAAATCTACCAAAGGTTTCTGTCTAGAAACAGGCTGCCTAAAATATCTACATAAATATCCAATAAAAAGAAATCTGCTTCAGATTACTCTTAAACTGCCTAATGATTCTAAGACATTATTGGGAATCAATGATAATATTCCCAATAATTTTAACCATTGGATCATATCATTTGTCTTTTTTATTTCCCATCGAGTTTGGCGAGATTTCACAAAAATTTTGACCAAAACTTTCATTAACATTTTGCGATACCTTATTAAAATTTCACTGAAATATTTGTGACATTTCAGAGCTCTGGCCAAAACCTTCACTGAAATTCTGGTGAGGTTTCAAAAACATTTTAGCCAAACTTTTCACTTAAGTTTTGCTGAGATCTATAACATTTTTTTTCTGGTGAGATTTTATTAAAATTTTGATCATTATATTGTATTTTACTGAAGTTCCAGGAATTTATAGACATTTCCAAAGGCTTTAAATAAGTAATGAATATTAATTGTGTTTGATTTGGATTTATAACACTGCTTTAACAATATTTTGACCATATTGCTAGGATGTCTGTATTGTGGCAGTTTATGGTGATGACTAGCACTTGGGCATCATGCCGCACGATGTCGCACCCATTATCACATTATCCTGACACCAGGCCAACCAGTCCTAACACTAACCTCTTAATGCTTTGCACCAAGCAAGGCAGCTGTTAGTACCAATTTTTTAAATCTTTGGTATGACTCAGCTGGGTATTGAACCACAACCTCCCCCATCCAAGGTGGATGCTGTAACCAATATGCCATCAAAGTGGTACTGGATATGAATTAAACAGGACTTAATCAATGTGATATTTCAGAATATATGAACAAAATTATACAGATCTCTTAATTATATGACATTCATAAGTTTTAGCATATATGGTCATCTATAATAACAACATCAACAACAACAACAACAACAACAACAATAATAATAATAATAATAATAATAATAATAATAATAATAATAATAATAATAATAATAATAATAAAGACTTTATTTTAAGAAGGTAACTCTGTTACAGAATTATCTACCTTGAGGCATGTTATACACAATATATTATACATAGTATATACAACATGATGTGATGAATCAGGCTAGACACTAAATAATTAAATGATTAAAGTAAATGATTTTAATAAATCAAACTATCAAGCCTGGAACATATGGACAGGCATATGTGAAAACATATACATATATAAAATAGTATCTTGCATTGAAATTTCAACTGTGAAAATGATGCAAAATGACACTGAATAAGAAAAGAAATGCAAGGAGCCTGCCTTATGTCACTGTGGTCTCTTGATTTATTCATAAAAAAAAAATTTCCATAAGCAGTTTGGTTTGTGTCAGTCTGAATTAAATCAAATCTTTGACATACTGTAAATCCAATGGACACTGACATGAGGATGTGTTCTGTTGACCTTTCAAAATTAGTTTTCACATCTATAGAAGAGAAACACTCCATCCAGACTTTCAAATAATAGCTCTCTCTCTCTCTCTCTCTCTCTCTCTCTCTCTCTCTCTCTCTCTCTCTCTCTCTCTCTCTCTCTCTCTCTCTCTCTCTCTCTCTCTCTCTCTCTCTCGCATGCAATGGAATGATTTATCTGATCATGTAATTAAATATATGCAAACCATGCATTACAAAGGTCAGAAGAACAAGAACAGTATTCACAATCTATTTATTGTGAGTAGATGTGGATTTTTAATCATACTAGAGTTGCATTTACCAGTATATATGTCATTTGCTCAAAAATATGATTAGTCAAATATGCACCTTTAGGTTGAAGTGTAAAAATGGGCAATTCACGTGTAAAGTAACATATGGCCCATTTTGAAATATGATTGTTAAAGTAGGTAGAAAAAGTAACTTAACCATATCAAATAAGTGTAATAAGAATGGTGAATTTTGAGGTTAACTGAATTTACTTAGCCTACCCCCATCAGCTAATAAGGGCTGGCAGTTTAGTGTCAATCATTGTCAGACAGTTTTCTAATTTCCAAAGGCCAATTTAAACATGAAAGTGAGACGTTTTTCTGACATAAAAGCTAAATTTGACCAAAAATTAGCCTACATACCTGTTTTGGTATGATGGAAATTTCAAATGGATGTAAGTTCAATTTTAATTGATCTCTCAGTATTAATGGAACATCTCGTTACCTGTTGATGTAACCCAGGAGTTCAAAATGGTGATGCTCAATATATTATTGGGATTTCATATTAATTTGTGAGCTATGAGACATTGAATTTGACACATCAATAGAAGTCCACATGATCTGACCATAATTCAAGAGTCCCATAAAATATATGCTTGTTTTTAATGATTGATATGCACACTGGTATAACTATATTCAGACATTAATTTGACCCCCTGCCTATTCTTATTCTTAATAGAACAGTCAGTTGAATTACATACTTCACCAGTGGCTAGTGTCTTAATACTTTTCATAGCTCTTTATTGAGACATCAATTTTGAATGTACTAATTGAAAATAATTAGTTGCCTTTACATGTCACTTTTACAATAGATTTCATAAACTCTTTGTATATATTTCTCACAGTCTAAGGAAGAAGCCATACATTTTAGTGTCAACTGACATTGACTAAATATAGTAATGATGGACCCATATTTGCATACGTCTTTGCTACATGAGAGAGAGAGAGAGAGAGAGAGAGAGAGAGAGAGAGAGAGAGAGAGAGAGAGAGAGAGAGAGAGAGAGAGAGAGAGAGAGAGAGGTTCGTATGTTGAAAGTTTAGTTTCAGTTCAACTTGTGGGCTGAGCAAGTAATTTTTAAATACTTTCTTATTTTATTTCCATGTTATTGTCAGTGATGCATATCTTTGTACATTAACTCAACGTCACGTACCCCCTACGGTATTATTACTAACACCAGAGAAAGATGGACAATTAAAAGATTAAATAGCTCAAGGCCCCCCCCCCATTCATCAAGACTCACGGTCTAGGTGTATAAAGAATACAAAATAATAAGGTGGAAGGTATAACAGTTTAATAAACTATATCAAGGTATTGAACAATTACAATACAATTTTTCAATGCAGTTGCTTCCAATCAATACAAGACCTGTTCGAATTGGCAGATATTTCATCACGTCAAAATAATGGCGAGTGTTTTCTTCCCGTTTCCGTTATATGTTACTCATCTGCAACTTCTAGTATGTCGGTACTTCCGGTACCACTGTTTCCATTCTCTGGACAACTGCTTCTGCATTACTGTCAATTCTCCCAGTCCTGCTCCTTAGTACAACTGCATTTTCTCCAAACTATGTTCCTTCGCACAGCCGCCCCAAAATTTGACTATCCAAGTTCCGATTTGATACCGGTGATCTCTTTCAAAACTGTCTTGTGTAGTAGCACTGATATGTTTTAATATCGGGTTGCATGGTCTCGAAGCCTAAGCCGACCGGTGACATCAATCGCTTATTGCAAAACAGAGTTTCTCATCATTGCGGTAAGATTATCTTTGAATTAACCGCGAAAGTAAATGTGACGCAATGGCTAAGTCGCAGAAAGGTAGTTTGTTTCAGAATTGGTCAAAAGTCGTAATACTATGTAACACATATTGCCCTTACCTAAAGCACATTGAATTACGAATTCTATCAGAAGACATTAGTAAACAAGAGGAAGGAATTGTTTGTGATTTTCTCACGCAGCGTGATACCCCCAAGCTTGAGAAAAAAATCGGGATTTTATTCACAGAAAATATGCTCTGTCTATTTATGCGTGATATGAATAGAACGATATCCAAACGAGACTAGACGCTAACTACGGATACAAATATACAACGTCATATTTGATGATTCTACTGATATAACTGAACAGTTTCTGTACTCATGAAATCTGCACCAACCTAAACATGAGACAGGAATTGTTAGCAAATTTCTCATGCAACGTGACACTCAACAACATACATTTACCTACGTTTTGTTATAGGAATAGCTCTAACAACAATTTTTTTCGTATATATTTTGTCACAATAGTGTGTGTGTGTGGTGAGAGAGAGAGAGAGAGAGAGAGAGAGAGAGAGAGAGAGAGAGAGAGAGAGAGAGAGAGAGAGAGAGATTTTAATTTTTAATGTAGCTGTAGCAATTTTTCAGTCATATCACTATAATATGGCAGTTTATAGTGATGTCTAGTACTGGGGTATCATGCCGCAGACATGTCGCACCCAGTCACATTATCCTAACACCAGGCATACCAGACCTAACACTAACCTCTTAATGTTGAGCGCCAAGCGAGGCAGCTATTAGTACCATTTTAATAAGTCTTTGGTATGACTCGGCCAGGGATTGAACCCACGACCTCTCGCATTCGAGGCGGATGCTTTAAGCACCAGGCTACCGGAGCGGTCTGCCACAATGGTTATTCATTACTAAAAGTTTTGTTTCAATCATGTGCATTTATACTCATGGTCAAATAAATTCTGTTTGTTATAAAGATTATCACATTATTTGTTAATACTATTAGGAGGGAACCAATTATGTGTGTGTGTGTGTGTGTGTGTGGCTTTGGTTTACCTTTTAAACAGAGATATTGTCTCTTTTATCTCAAGATGATTATTTTTTCCAGTTAATGTAATATGCACAGTAGAGTTTTGTCTGTATTAAAAAGAACAAGAATATTTTTTTACGCTGTATGAGAGCCAGCCAAAATCTTTCGTCCATAAAAAATAATTTTAGCAAATAAATGGGCATATTTAGAAACAAAATTTGCAGCTCCTGTTACATGGGATTTTTTGTTTGTATACTGAAGATGTTGCATTTACAGTAAGATATTAGTAGCTCACAATGTTCTGTTTTTATTGACTTGTATTGAGTTGTTGAAGTCAAGGATAAGAAAAGAGCTGGACTTTTCCTGGACATTACCGTTTGACTTATGCCATTCATTAATACTGTCCTCGCACTGCTGACTATTTTACACCAAACTAAGCCATGAGAGAGCAGTAAGGAAAATGCGATGATATTTGTTTGTATCAAGTGAATAATATATATTTCTTTGAATCGGTGTCAAAAGCCAACATTCTTCTTTATAACAAACGCATTAGTAAATATATTTGAAAATTTTACACATGAGATGAAGTGTATCCATTATTTAATCTAAAGAAGCAACATTTTGTTTGATTGTATGATCTAACGTATAACCAAGTGAAAATATCAGTGGATACTTGTTTAAGATCTCGTGTCTTTTGTGTATATTTGCACTGAATATATCAGTTGTAACATAATCAGCTTTTCTAATTTAACGCAAAATAACACGTAAAACACAGTTTTAAAACAAAAATAAGGATGTTGTGGGATTTGAAGTCAGTACTATTGTATGACATGTTTTCATGTTTACCACAAGATCAAGCAAGTGCTAAAATTGATCAGATTTCTTGGTCTTAATTTTATCGATGTTTATTAACTGAATTGAAAACATTTTATTCATTGTTCACTTCAGTGAATTATCAGAATATTTCTATTGGAATTTTTATAGCATAGCTAGCATAAAATAAATTACGTAATGTACTACTTATTATATGGACACTGGTTTGTTGGAACCATCCTCATTACATGGTGCAGTCTCTTGCAGTATAGGTCACACAGACATAGTTGCTATGAACTGATATAATACAGAGGGAGTTATACATAAATATATAGTTGACTACTGAGATGTTGGTGAAAGTTCAAAGTTTTCATTTCTTTGTCTTGCTTTTTAATATACATTTATGCAAAAAATGTATGTATCATGCTAGTATGAAACGTACATGTTCTTAATAATTTATTTTGAGTTTCCTAAGTATTAAATCAAAGAAATGGGTTTTTTTTAATGATAATTGTACTATATACCTCAGATATATCATTACATGTGTTAATATATGAAGGTCTATGCCGTTTCATCTAGTTATCATTTCAGACAAATAGCATAGACATTAATTTGTCAAGTCTTGTGACACAACAGTAAAGCAGGTTGGTTCTCATTCATAATCAAATCTTTAAACTATATTTAACTTTATTTGAATTTGAATGGAAACAAAATTAGCTAAGAGCTGTGCTTTTTAAAAAAATATAAACTAGTTGCTCTTTATTTGAAGGGAATAACTGTTTGAATCTATTTCCCAGCATATAGATATTTTATTTTATTTTTATCAAGCAGTTACATATATGGCTGTGATAAGTAGCTTGGTATTGTATTGAAATATTAACTGGACAAAATTTGGTTTTTATTTGTTTTCTGAATGATTTTAAAAGAGTTTTTTTTTTCTCCTCATAAATATAAATATTACCAATATCACAAATGAATGAATTATACTTTTAAAATAAAGTTAAAATAATTTAAACTATATTACTTTACATATGTTATATCTTGAGATATTACATGTCTGGTTGTATTTTTTCTGATTGTGTAAATGATATTTCATTTTATTTCCATCTAGCAGTTACATCAATGGTTATGTTGTGCGGCTTGCAATATTGAAATATTTGCTGCACAAGAAAAGTTTTTTTTTTTGCAATTGTTTTGGTTTTTGAAATAGATTTGTAATAAATCATAAATATCAATACTACAACTATCATAATTGAATAATCACTGCTTTTAAAATTAAAATATTTTATTTGCATTGTTGTTATGTTACTGTGTGCATAATACATATGGAATAAAGATATAAAAGCAATAAACAAATTTGTATGTGTCTGCACATCCAAAAACATGTATTATATTATATTGTATTGTAATCATTCAGAATGGTATCTAATAACACTGATTATGGTTATAATGCTCTGGAAGGTACATTTCATTCAAATTAGAGAAACGTTTGAATCAATCATACACACATGCACACACATTATATAAATACTAAGGCTGTGTACACATCCATATAGTACGACGAGACGTCTGAGTACTTTAGGTCTCTGACAAATAACATACTGATTTGTTTGTTTCATGGTTTGTCAAACAAAAATAAAATGTAGTGAAAACTCCTCTATGAAGCCATCAGTATATTCCATTTCCGGGTCTTTAGCTTCTGCCATGACACAAAGTTAATGGATCGAACACGAAATATGTCCAAGTTACATGGGCTATTGCATCGAAACTAGGATTGAGCTTCTTCGTGATAATATCAAGTAGTCTCTAGAAGATATCAGCTTAAAGGCGGTGTCAAGCAACCAATGGTCAACAGCCTGGTTGTCAGATGCTTCTGTTGACTGGTTCACATCTTGAATATTGGCACCATGTCTCATTTTCTGACACTTTTGACTTTCGTTTTCACCTGATGGAGCAATTATGGTAAGTGCACATAATTTATATGCCATTTTGATATTTCTGTGGGTTTGAGCAAATCAGTAAGAATTAAAAGCAATAAGAACTTCACCAAGACGTTCAGACACGAGCACCTAGAGGACACTGTACACTTTAACAATTATTTCTTTAATAGCTGTGAAATGTTTGAGCATTCGCAGCAGAATTAAGTGTTATTTTAATCAAGCAATTGTTTTAATGCTGATGCAGTTCTTGAGCTTCAAAATAAATTAAGTTGGAAGGGGTCTACAGCAACAATATCAACAAGAACAAATAAGAATACTCTATCAGCCAGGATTCATTGCTTGCCTTATGAAAATAACTAATCCATAAGAACCCTCTCTGTAGACGTAACATTTAGAACCAGTCAACCTTATAAATCATAAAATTTGTTTTACTGATTGACTTCATAAAGTCATATTCAAGGCTTTGAACTAAGCCGAAACCTCTCAAAACACTAATTTAACCATCTTTTCGGATTGTGTTTCCATTTTGAAAAGCAGGCATAAAATGACAAAACGTTCATATCAGATATTACAGAGACCTGTTCTCATGTCATCCAGGAAAAGTATCTCGTACTGTTGGTTATCTAGTAGCATTGGCATACATGGTAATGAAAGGGCCGATAAAGCAGTCAGTGTGGCTCTGCAATCATTTCTGTCCGAATAGAGAATTGCATATAACTACTTTTATTATCGCATTAATCCATATCTTTGTCATACGTGGCAAAATATGTGGAACAAAACTGCTATAGATAGACGATCACACTTACTACAGGACCAATCGGAGAGATGACATGGTATTGTGCCGACCTTGTATTAAACACTTACGTTAAATGCACGCATACCTTCTGAAAGTTGTTGTTTGTATCCTGTCAATGAAGCATACTACTGTCGACTTCTTGCCTGCCAGTTACAGGTACTTTGACTTGAATTGGGTGAAAAAAGCATAAAAGGATATAAGACCCGTCAAAATCTTTTACTTTCAAAGAGAATGCAGTTTATACAACAAATTTTCGTCATGTTTGAGGGACTTCTATTAGCTGTATATTTTGTAGGGACTTTACATCTGAAACTAAATATATTCTGTAAGGACTTAACATCTGTTACTTGTATATTTTTGTTGTGTTTGCATTTTAAAGATTTTTAATAATTGTTACGATTTATCTTGTACTTCACGTTTATATTTATTGGAAGGTTTTATCATCCTGGAACTTTTCTGCAATTCATTTTGCATTTTTCGAGCGTCTAATTACATTTCATTAGCACCGTAAAAAAAAACCCTTCGTTCTGAGATGCCGTAAAATACTACCACAAACAAATAATGGGAAGACCTATAACCTGTAAAGGAACAAAATGCCCGAATCAGCATGCCTGCGTTGCGGTTTAATTTTATTTTATTACTGATTATTTTGTATTAAATTACAACTTTTAAATATATGCAAGCCATTACCTTATATTAAATAACAAGTTTTAAATCTAATCATGTCCAGTCGACATACAAGTATTAATATACAAATCGTATCTATTGTATTGCACGGTAACCGTATGCTTTCAAAGAATATTGAGAAGATAAAAAGGTATAACGTAATAAGAACCTTAGGTAAGAGAAATTATTGCAAGATTAACATTACGTGTATGGTGAGACCAAAAATATAATTATTTGGTATAAAAGATCACTTGGCACAAGTTGATATCTTGTACTTCTTTGCTAATTTCTTACCTTGACTTTTGTTTTATATACATTTTAGAGAATTGTAAATTCTTCATATTTTGTATTTGGCTTTCTTGTATTTTAATGATTAAATTTATGTGGCAAAATTTGTTCCTATACTTCTTCTACAAAATAATTTTTTACGTTTTCGAACCTTATTTATAATTGTCGCCATATAGTCACTACCTTACCAAGGTACATAAAAAGTTACATACATGAATAATGCAATTCTTTATCTATTTCGCTTCCCTCTCTGCCTTCTGCTTGTTCCTCTTTTTCACTCTCGGACAGAGTATTTTAACGTGAATTGCTTGCACGTACTACCCGAATCAAGTTTGGACTTTTAACGGAAATGTGTAT